AAAAAAAAAAAAAAAAAAAAAAAACATAATCCCGAAGTTCAAAATACCGAAACGAAAAATCTTGAAATTTATTAATTATGAAAGTTCAGGATTTTGACAATTTGGGATTATGGCATTTCAAGATTTTACCATTTCAAGATTTAGAGTTCGGGATAATGTACTGTCAGGTTTTCGAGTTTCGGTATTTTGTACGGATCCCCTTTAGAACATGTGTTTATTAGCAAGGGACTTCGTACCTTAAATCATATAAATGTTAAAGAGAAATTTGACACTAAATTATTTAGTAAATGGTAAATTTTATTTTATAAATTATTTTGATTTTTATTAACTTAGGGTTTGGAACTGATCCTTCAATATCAAGGAATCTCAGATCAATTGAACATAATCCCGCAAATCTAAAAAAATTATTTTTGAATATTTTTTTTTTAACCATAAAATACAGTATTTAACTTTTTTCTTTGACGATGATAGGTTAAATTAATTAAGCTAATTTAAGCTTTTTAAGAAAATTCGTAGGAGCTTTATTTCTCTTACATTAAAAAATGATAAAAAAAACATTCAGCAATAATTATTAAAAAATCAAAATACAAGTTATCAGTAATTTTATTATTATTGAGAGATAAAAAATATTATTGATAAATTATGTGCTAAATTTACCTCAAACGTTTGTTTTGGCCAGTTATATTATTTGCGTCAATTATTTCTATTAAATTATCCGGTAAGTGTAAAAATGATACGTAATTGGTTATGTGAAATATTTTACCTAAAGTAGAATGTATCAGTTCATATATAATCTTAACTAGAAATAAAAATTTTAAATTTCAAAATATATTACATACGACTTTATACTCAAACTTTTCAATTAATTACTACACCCAAAACTCATCATTAGAGCAAAAGATGCCAATTCTCATTATCGCTATTTCAAAAAATGTGACCAGCCTGCAATAAAAATATCGATTTTAATGTAACATAAGAATCTTACCAATTAAAATTCACATTTTGATTACGTAACTATGAAAAATCTTTCTTTTAAACTTCAAAACTAACCCACCTTAATTATTTTATAACAACAAATTATTTATAAAATGATTAAGTAGTTCTATTGATTAAATTTTATCAAAATATTTTATTTCTTTAATTAAAACTATAGGAAATCTCATTTAAGTTAAAATCTTTACAATAATTAGCGCTAGACCGAGAATTACGGGAGAGAGTTCTTATAATAAAGTGATCTCCGGTAGATCAATTTGGTTTGAGAAAATTAAAATAACGTGATTTAATAATACTTAATATACCTGAAATTGCGTAGTAATTTTTTATTGGGCAGTAAACTGCTTATAAAGAATTAATTAATTAATCATTTTTATTAGGAATTTTGCAAATAATCACAAATAATTATATACGTTTTATAATGAGAATTTACTTAACCCGGAATTACACCCATCCACCTGATCGACAAAAGAGCTTAACCTTTCTCAAGCCTATTTGTTGATCAGGTGGATGAAATAAAATTAATAGAATTATTTTAAAAAAGGAATGATTTACGTGTTATTTTTGGTTCTTTCGCTATCTTTTATGGAATACTAAATAAAATTGTACAACTATAAATTTATTTCATTTTGAAATGAAAGCAAACTCCTTTTTCCTTTACCAACATGGCATGCTCAAAAATATTTTCAGGAGATTTACCTGAACTATCCTATGAAATTATACAGTATTTTAGAAAAGATATTTCAACATTATATTCATGTATTTTAGTTAATAGATTATGGTGTCGTTTAGCCATTCCATTAATATGGGAAGATCCATTTTCACTTCTTACTCAAAATTCTCGTTATATTAATACTTATTTATGCTTTTTAAATGAAGATGGCAAAGCAAGATTTAATGAATATGGAATTAATGATAATTTATTACTTTTGAATACATCATTCAATTATCCTAGATTTATTAAATACTTAGATACATTTAAAATTAGTAATTCTGTTGAAGATTGGGTTATTACTTTAAAGTATAAATACAATCATATGCTAGGAAAATTAGTTTATAGGTCATTAATTGAAGTATTGCTCATTGAAAATGAAGTAAATTCACATTCTTTTGAAGTTGTATTGGACATGAATTTTACTTATACTAGTTATTTTGATGATACTGTAGACTCGATTTTACAAAATCCAAACCTTACATACAATATTAGAGGGTTAACACTCAGTTATGTTTCCTTATTTGAATCGGAAAATATCTTTTTATTTTTAAAAATTTTTTGTTCTAATTACAATTCAATCTCATCGATTGTTTTTAAATTTCCTAAATATAGAATTAAAATCAAAAATTATAAATTAGTTGAAAATTATTTATCACCAATAATTATTTCACAAAATAATCTCAAAAAAATTTCATTTGAATCTTTTGTTAATTTATATAGTACATTTTTAATATTAAAAAATTCTAATTGTTCAAATACTTTAAATACAATTATATTTTATTTCATTAATTTTAAAAATATAATTGGTATTTTACAAGAGGTTTTTGATCAATTGAATGTTTTAGAATCTATTCACATCATTTATTGTGATTCTTTAGATTCTGATTTTGTTCAACAAATTTTTAAGGTTATTAAACCTTTTAAATTAAGATCTTTGTTTATGAAAGAAACAATACCTAATGATCATATTGAATCATTACTATTATTATTACAGAAATTTAGTGATTGTTTAGAAAATTTTGGATTTGAAAGTGGAGAAATAGGACAAGTCTTTTATAGAATACAAAAACAACAATTATTTGAATTTATTATGAAATATTGTAAAAAGATTAGATATTTTTATTCGGGTATACCTTATTATGGTAATAACAGTATTTACTTATTCATTGAAAAGAATCAACATAATATTAATTATCTTACTATCGAAGCGGATATTACTAGTTATTATGATTATGGGGAATTAAGTTCAACTGTATTACAGAATTTAGGACAGGTTCTTCCTTCTAGGTTAGAATATTTATGTTTAGCTCTTTCTTTTATTACAAGTGATCTAGAAATATTTTTAAATAATTCACAAAATACTTTTATTAAGAAATTATTAATTAGTAATAAATTCCAGTATACACCCCTGAGAAAAGAAGATACAGAAATTTTATTTTTTATAAAGAAATATATTATGAAAAAGGAAAGGGTTAAATATTTGGCTATTGTAGAATCAGATTCTAATGCTAGTACAGAACCTGTCGAATTATTTTTTTTAAAAAACGAAGTAAATGAATATAAATTAAATAATATTATAGTTCAAAAATATAATGATTTATATATTGATGCACATAGTTATATAAATAACCATTTACAATATTAATAAATAAGGCATTTACAAAACCTTCATTGGGATAAGACGATAAGTTAATGTATTTATAAATGTAAAAATATAAATGTTGATATTCTAACTGGTGTTAACATGATATGCCATAGCATGATTATGATAAAAGCAAGTCCTTAACGAAGATAAATGATATTTTCATTATCTGTTATGTGATATCTATGAACACAATAATTAAATTGGTTATCACTGGGATGTCTGATGATATCTATTTCTAACGTAGAGTTGCGAAATATTTTGTGATAATTAATCACTAGAAAACTAATTTCTTGTTTGTTTAAGCGCATATTTTTACCCTTAAAGTATGATTTAAGCAATTATTTTTACATTAATACGTTTATGTATTACTTATCTCCTGGCTAATTAGGAATAAGTAAAATTTTACTAGGATTGGATAAATGATCGGCCAAAGGTTCCGATTCTAAGTAAAATTTTACTATTCCAATTAGCCAGGAGATAATTGATTTATCCCCTGCCATTTACACAATAGTAAGTGTTTCATAGTATATCGGGAGTATAATATAGTATATTGGTCTCTTATACACATCTAGATGTGTATAAGAGACAGATTTTAATGTAACATANATAGTATATTGTATTGTTGAATCTTATTTTTCTTTCGCTTGGTTTTTTTTTTTTCCTCATTTTAAAAGATTTTAAAAAAATAATTAAATTTTAAAAAGCTTCAGAACTATTACTATTACACTTGAAAAATATATTGAGATTACTAATAAATTAAAAGAAAGTTTTTCTCATTTGGAAAATGCAAATCTTTCAGAATTACTCAAATTTACAAATCAGTACATTATAGTATAATCAATAGTTAATTTTTACCGCAAAATTTCCTAGAAACGGATAAATAAATACATATAAAATTTGCTACCCAGTAGATATAACTACATTTGCATAATCATGTAAATGTGGATGACCATCACCGTTGGCCAGAATTATCAATTTTTACCGGCAATATATTTTTTTAATGCTGGTCGATCGTCATAATTTCAGTCACCAGTTATCATCACCCCCGGTGATAGTTAGATTTTATTAATATTTTATATTGTATAACTGTTAGTTTTTTTATTGTTAAGAACTAAAAATAACATGTAAACCATTCCTTTTATTAAATAATTGTTAATTTGATCATATTATTTGCTATCAAGATTGTTAATTATTTCAATTAAATTATACGGTAAGCGTAAAAAATGCCATTTTAAACTAATAATTAATTTTAAAAATTTCAGAAATTTTGGTAAAATCGTGAAATATTCAGTACCACTAAATTTAAAAAAGAGGGGGGGGGGAATATTATACCTAAAATAGAATGTATCAGTTCATGCTGGTTCATATAAAGAAATATATTTAATTTTAGCTAGAAATAAAAATTTTAAATTTCATAATACATTACACATGACTTTATACTCAAACTTTTTCAATTGATTACTTTTTCAAACTATTAAATAAATATACACTTAAAAGACTCATCCACGTAATTAGAACGAAAATTATGATCTTTTTTTTAAACTTCAAAACTAACTCACCCTAATTATTTTATAACAATATATTGTTTATAAAATGTTTTAGTTTTATTTGATTAAAATATATCAAAATGTTTTATTTCTTTAATTAAAACTATAGGAAATCTCATTTAAAATCTTACAATAATAAGTAAATAAATAAACTTTCTTTCTGTATGTTTTACTTTAATATAATTTATAAACATGAATAAATTATAAATATAAATAATAAATACTTGCAAAAAGTTTTTTCAGATCTGTATTACATAAACCATTGTAAAGATCATAAAGATTGTGAGAGATCATAAAAGATCATAAAAAATCATTTTTCAACACCAAAGATTCCCGCCAAATATATGTTTAAATTTTTACATAGGTAAACTCAAAAAAAAAAAAAGTTTTTGAAATAGAAAAAGATTGCAGTACTAAATAGAAAGTTTACAGAGAAATCTTATACTACTAAAAAAACTAATTTTTTTTTTTCGTTCATAAGTCCTGTAATCACTGATCATATCTTTTAAAAAACGGCTATAATAATGATTTTATGTGTTTAATAATTCTAGGAATTATCATACATTATACATATTTTGACGATTTTTATATAAAGGCTTGCTTTTCATAACCAAACATAACATGGATTTGTTGCAGGTACTATTCTTTTAACGTTAATCGATACTCTAGAAGTTTTCCATATTTTACAATACATTAATGAATTAAAGTACAACTTCCATCTTCTAAAATAAAATAAATTTATTTATTCATAATTTCATATGCAGAAATATATAAATTACTGTATTGTTGAACTATAATATTATGTAATTTAAATTCATTTACTTCATCTTTTAAAGTAAATAATTCATTACGTACTATATCTTTATGATTATTAATAGCCAAATATTTAACCCTTTCCTTCTTCATAATATATTTCTTTATACAAAATAAAAGATGTTCATACTTACCCGACATTTCATCATCATTACTAATTAATAATTTTTCAATAAAAGTATTTTGTGATCTTTCTAAAAATATTTCTAGATCACTTGTATTAAATGAAAGGATTAAACATAAATATTCTAATTTATAAGGAAGAACCTGTCCTAATTTCTGTAATACATTTGAACTTAATTCCTTACAATCAGTATAACTATTAAAATCTGCTTCAATAGTAAGATAATTAATATTATGTTGATTATTTTCAATGAATAAATAAATATTATTATCATCAGGTATTCCCGATTCAAAATATCTAATCTTTTTACAATATTTCGTAATTAATTCAAATAATTGTTGTTTTGGTTCATCATATTCATTAAACATCGTATATCCAAATCCAAAATTTTCTAGACAATCACTAAATTTCAGTAATAGCAATTGTATTGATTCAAAATGTAATATTTCATCCATAAACAAAGATCTCAATTTAAATGGTTTATTAACCTTAAGAATTTGTTTAACAAAATCAGAATTTAAAGAAGAACAATAAAAAATATGAATAGACTCTAAAACATTCAATTGATCAAAAACCTCTTGTAAAATACTAATTATATCCTCAAAATCAATGTAATAAAATATAATGATATTCAAAGTATTTGAACAATTAGAATTTTTTAATGATAAAAATGGATTACGTAAAGTAATATTATATTCAAATGTAATTTTTCTGAGATTATGTTGTGAAATAATTATTTGTATTAAACATTTTCCGATTAATGAACGATAATAATCAATATCATATCCTAAAACTATTGATGAGATTGAATTGCAATTAGAATATAAAATTTTCAATAATTTAATCATATTTTGAGTATTATAATTAAAAATACGGAATGTTAAATTGCTTATATTATATGTAAGATTTGGATTTTGTAAAATCAAGTCTATACTATTATCAAAATAACCAACATTAGTATGTATAGGCAGTTCGACTTCAAAAGAATATAAATTTACTTCATTTTCAATAAACATTTCAAGTAATGACCTATAAATTAAGTTTACTAGCTCCTCTTGGTTTTTACCCACTACAGTATCAACCCACATTCGAATAGAATTTAAAATGTTATCTATATTTAAGTATTTAATAAAACTAGGATAATTGAATAATAGTGTATTTGAAGATATTAAATTATTATTAACTCCATATTCATATAATTTTGTTTTGACATCTTCATTTAATTTACTTAAGTAAATTTCAATAAAGTGTTGATTTTCGGGATATTCCTTTAAAAATGGATTTTCCCATAATAATGGAATGGCTAAACGACACCATAATCTATTAATTAAAATGCATGAATACAATGTTGAAAAATCTTTTTCAAGATACTGTATAATATCATTTGTTAATTCGGGTAAATCTCCTGAAAATATTTTTGAGCATGCCATGTTATTAAAAGAAAAGGGAAGGGAGTTGCTTTCGTTCAAAATAAATTTATATTTATCAGTTGTCAAAGTTGTACAATTTATTTAGTGTTCCATAAAAGGACAACAAAAGAACCAAAAATAACATGTAAATCATTCCTTTTAAATGTTAATTTCATCCACCTGATTATCACATGTTGATTTTTACAATTTTGTTTAAACGCATATTTTTACGCTTAAAGTATTATTTTAAGCAATTATTTTTTACTTTAAAACGTCATATTTTTTTTTTTTTTTTCAAATTTGAGATTTCTTATTAAACAAAAAAATTTTTTTTCTATTTCTATAAATTCTTTTTCGTAACACAAGATCTAAATGTGGAAATTTATAAAATTTAAATGTGAAAATAAACGTTTTAAAACCATACTTTAAGCGCTTACACAAGCATTTAATAAACTTCCTGGTGTGCTATACCCAACCAATAGACTTGAAAAATGAAATGTAGGATTAGATTCTCTGTCGATCAGCGTGGGTGGGGAGTAATTTCTATGGCAAGCCATATAGCAGACGGTGGATACCTGCTAAATTTGCAGCAAATAATCGCTTTTGTAGCAGACAGCTGCTGGATTTGTATGCATGGCAAGCCGTTCAAGTCAAAAGTCCGCCGAATTTGCAACATGCATCCGCTGAAGTATCCTGAACTTGTTTTTCTGGTTTAAAATTTTTTTTCTTGGTTTTACAATTTATAGTAATCTATCAAATTATTGGACTCAAGCCAAGCTAGTTTATTTCCTTTTCAGAGGTGACTGCCCATCGCTCTGACACTTCTCTTTTGGATATTGTCATGTGATTGGTGATCCTGCCAATTTTGTAGAACAAACGAACAAATGTAGATCTATGTCACTAATATCACCGATGTCATGAATGTTTGGCATATTTGATTAATCATTGAATATCATATATGTTTATTTTATCTGTTATTATAAATTTTAAAAAGATCAACTATTTCATATGTATAGATAGGTATTCTAGTTTTTACTGCGGAATACATTAATCCCAATATTATTTTTAATGAAGATTTGCTTCATATATATATCATTATTAGTTGAGTTGATTTAAAAATTGAAAAATCAGAAGAAATTGACTTTTTCCTGAAATTTTCAGTTTTGTAATATTCATATCATACTTTTTATTGAACTTGATGTAGTAACTGATTTGCTATTTATTATAAATTTACTATCACTCTATCAGAGTTTCTTTTTTTTAAAATATTCTCTATATAAATTTTTGTTATTTAATTCTTTTTAATAATTTTCACAAAGACCTTCTATAATAGAAAATTTTTTTTCCTAAATTGATCGATTTGTAATTCCTTAAATGATCTTTGTGCTTTTACGAAATCACAGTAACTGGTTGAACATTTCGTCCTAAGTGATTATTAATCACCAGTGAAATGATTTATTCATTGAAAACATCAAAAAGATTAGTCGCTAAGAGAGTACAAAGTATTAAAAAAGGAGGAAAAGCAAATTTTTAAACAGTGAAAAAATTTATTAAGCATGACTAAATGATGATGAACATCCAAAAAAGGAAACCAAATTTTTGTTGTTAATGTTAACGTTAACGTTAACGTTTCGTTCATTTCTTAACATTAAATTTAATGCCAAAACTCACCCACCACACACCACATCAAATGTCTTTTTATACTCTTTTTTTTAAATATAATAATAAAAAGAATGATAATAAAAAATCTTCAAAAATAAGATTGTGAATTATTGCATAAAACAATTTATCAATAAATTTGTATTGTTAAATGTCCATTATAAAAATTAGATAATTTATTAATTTAACAATATTATTTTGTTACATAATCACATTATGATTGAACAAAAATTTAATTAATTTGTTTAAAATCATTAAAATATTCGTGATTATCATAATAAAAAATAGATTATGATAATTATTTAATCACTATATAGTAATAAGATAAAGAAATAAATCAAATTTACGATTATAAAAAAATAAATATATAAATATATATACTCCAGTTTTTTTTTAATAAAGTGGGTATTTGAAAAGTTTATTACATATTTTTTCTAAAAATCTGACGTATTAGAGTAAGTTTATTATGTGATATTTGAAAATTGCTAAAGCTCACCGGCGGTGATGGTCACCGCCGTACCAGCATTATGATGTACTTTCGACCAGAATTAAAAATCTAATAAAATACTGGCCGGCATTACACCATAATTTCACCACCGGTAATGTTCAGCAATACCATGATATTTTTGCGTTTTTTCAATAATAAGTACAAAGAAAAGATCAAATAAAAGTGGTAATATTTATTAGTTTATTTGTGAGTTTATTTTTTACGCCATGTTTTACAAAATTCGTGGCGAAAATCATTTTTGATGGTAAACAAATTAAAATTAATTGATTGAAGTTTTTTAAGGTTTATTAATCAAATCGTTATTTTTAATGAGATCTGTCTAACATTTTCTATTAGCATTAGATATTATTTATATCGATTATTAAATATTTATTTGGTCAAACAACTATTGAAAAAATCAAAGAAATTAGTTTGATCATTTTGTTGTATTTTTTTTTTTTATTAATATTTATTTTACATTATGTTATAATTTATATATTATTACAAACAATCATAAATGAAGTTAAGGATCACTGAATTTAATTCTTTTTTTACTTTATTTATTTTAATTATTCAAGTTTTTTAATAAAATCCTAATACACAGTAAAATTCGATAAACCGGATCTTCGATAAACCGGATTTGGGCCTAAGCCGGACTTTTTTGCTGGAATCAAATCACGTATATCAAAATAGTTTCGATATACCAGAGTTTACTAGTAAGAGCTCGATATTCGCTATAAACGGATCAATTTTCTAACCAGCTATAGTAAAAATGATTCGATAAACCGGATCACGAGATCATTAACCAATAAATTTAAGTCACGTGATGCAGCAAATCTTAATTTTGGCCAGAATTATAAAAATCCTAATTCCGGCTGAAGTTATTCTTCAATTAAAAATATTTTATATTCATTTTCATGAACTCTATGACTTAAAACTGAGATGAAAAAAGCATGAAATTTTTTTTTGAAAATTCAGTATAATAGATTTTCAGTATATCAAAATTTTTTCGCTATACCCGATATTCCGATAAACCGGATATTTTAGTGGAACCAATAGATCCAGTTTATCGAATTTCACTGTGTATGTTCATAAAAATTATATAAATTCTCTTTTAAATTTAATTCAAAAAATAAGAACTCCCGCTTACTTTACGTTTATTATTATTAACTTTTTTTACAGTAAACTTAGTTAGTTAATTAATTATTTATTTATTAATTTTAGATAATTTAATATGACCAAATAAAAATATAATTTTTAAATTTTATTAAAATGCTAATCTTTAATTTTTTCAGATATGAATAATTTATAAATATGAGCCTTACTACCGTAAATTGAAAATAATCCTTAAGTTCAAAATAAAATAAAGAATAAATTATATCTGTTATGTTTTTTTTTATATACTAAATATTTTCACTTAAAGTAAAATGTGTTTAATTTCATTCATCTATAATAAAAAAAAAATAGTTTAATTAAAATTTAATAAAAAGTTACATGCTAAAGTAATCACCTTTAATATCAAGTTTAGTAAAATCCATTCTTAAGGAATCTATAAAATAAAGAATACTAATTAATATAAATAGATTTGAATAATTATTTTGATTTAAAATTACCTGAATATTCTAAGTCATCATTGACTGCATTTTTTGGTTCTGGAAGATTTTTAAAATCTAAAAGTTTACTTGTATAAACTGCTTGAGGATGTGTCGTATATAGGAGAGTACTAGTAGACGATGATGGTGATTGAACTATTGAAAATGATGATTTTTTATTAATTTCATCTATTTCTTTAATTTGCCTATTGATTACATCATTTTCATAATGAATTCTACTATAGAAATTCCCTAATAACTCCCATAATTCATCTGCTTTAGGTCGTTTTAAAGGATCTGCATCCCAACATTGATTAATAAGATCAAAAATTAATTGAGGGATTTTGTAATTAGACATTGGCCTCAACCCCTTACAAATTTTCATTGCTAAGAATTCATCATGAGCTATATCATAATAAGGAGGGAAACCTGTACAAATTTCATATGCAATAATTCCGAATCCATAAATATCACTTGCTTGAGTATATTTTTTCCCTCTTAAAACTTCTGGAGCTACATAAGGTAATACTCCATATATTTTTTTATTACTATTTTGAGAGGATTTGACATTTACTGGTTGACATAATCCCAAATCAGTAATATAAGCATTTATATCAAAATCGCTTAATATATTCTCACAATGAAAATCATGATGAATTAATCCTTTATTATGAATACCTTTAAGACCAAATGCAATACTTAATAAACACCCCAACTTTTTCTCCCAACTCAGTGAAATGAAATTGTTATTTAAATGTTGTCTTAAACTACCAGCTTTTAAATCCATCACCATCATAAAATTATTTGTTTTTGGATCTTTGGTAATACCAAAACAGCGAACTATAAAACCAACTGAAAGTGAACATGCTATAATATTTGATTCAACCTTAAAAGAAAATTATAGTTAGTTTAACATTTATAAAGGTTAATGAAGATTTATAAGACAATATCTTACTTCTTTTAAAAAATCTGTTGTAATGTTTTGTGAATTATATAAACATTTTAAAGCAACTTTTGTTTCACCTTTTCTTTTCCATTGATTATTGTTATAATCCCAATAAATAATATGTCCATCTTTCCAAATTGCTTTAAAAGTGGTTCCAAATCCCCCTTTTGCTAAATATTCAACATCTTCAAATTTATCATATTCAATCCACTCTACGATTTGATCCATATTATTAGCTTCTAATTGTGCTTTTTGAATAAATTCATCAACGTCATGATTTCCACTTATCCAATTTTTGAAATTTTGTTGAAATCTTTTAGAATCACATGACTGACAATAAGGAAAATTAGAATGACCAGTATTAGGCTGTTTACAACTGTTACATAAACCATATTCTTTATAACGTTCTTTAAATTCTTCGTCTGTTATTAACTTGTCAATTAACGATTCTTGTTCTTTAGTTAAATTCCAACGGTTAAAATTTTCTATTTGTTCAAATACATCATCACTAAGTTTAATTTCATCCATTTTAATAAATAATTTATTAAAGAAAAAATATATTATTGATTCGTATGTAGAAATTGACTTAAAAAGATAATAAAGAAAAAATAGTGGTGAAACGTTGCAGTGATTTCAAGATCGGCAACAAAATTACCAAAAAAAACTAGTTAAAATACACAGAGGAAATTAAATTTATTAAATAAATAAAAGTTTAACTAAATATAGTAAGTATTATGTAATTAAAGATTATTAATAAGTGAAGAAATTAAAATGATATTATAAACAATAGGATTTAATTGATTGAAGAACTTTAGTAATGTTTTATATATCATGACATATAATTTATTGACGCAATTGAAGGCTAAGCTTTAAGAAATCTATCATATTCAATATATTCTATTTGGCCAAAGAGAGAATTTGGGAATTTGGAATTATTTTAAAGTAATTGAAATACAAATCTTTTCGCAAACTTATATAGATTGATATCGTATTGTAAAATAAAATTGATCTCATTAAACAATACGTCATGCATCATATATTGTAATGTTTTTTTTTAAAAAAAATGGTTCACAAAATAATTTCGTAAAAAATAATCTATATAACTAAAATGTGTAACCGTAACGTTTAGACTAGCATGTATAAATAGTTTGAATTGTGTAACTTGAAATCCCATGAGTGCATTCCAATCAACTAATCCAATTTCAGTTAATGAAATTTTACCCTAATCAGAATTTTTTTTTTTTTTTTTTTTTTTTTTGTCCGATTTTTTTTTTCAAATATTTTTAGCTTTTTTTGGTTTAAATTTTTTCATCTTTTTTCCCGTTTAGGTTTAATTTTTTTTCCCAAACTGAATATTATTTTTTCTATTAAATAATCGGTCTTTTAAGACCGATTTTTTTATATTAATTTTTTTATCGATCTTTTTTTTTTAGACCGTGTTGTTATTTAGGTACTTATTTTTTTTCAGATTCCTTTTTTCGGAAATTTCCCTTTTTTTAAACCGATTTCTTTCATTATCCTTTTTCTTTCCCCAATTTTTTTTTTATTTTTTATTATTATTAAATAAAGAAATAAATATTATATTAAATATATTTACAAAATTATTATTTTTTTAAAAAAAATCAAGTAACATATACGTCGATAGAAAGATGATTAAGATTTTTTTAATTAAATCGAACTTTGAATAAATAGTTTGATTTTCAAATTCATAAAAATCAAAAAAAAAATTGATATTTTTACAATATTTTATAATTAATTAATTGAAGAAATTGTTGATTTAAAAATAGATTATTATAACCAAATCCATATCCGAAATTCTCTAAATAATCACCAGATTTTTGAGTAAAGATTTTAATTCAAATGGTTTAGTTAAATTAATAATTTATCGAGTAAAATGAGTAAAATGAATAAATACACTTTGCAATTAAATTATTTATGTGTTTAATAACTCTAGGAGTTATCAGGCATTCTACATATTTCGATGGTGATTATAACATGGTGTTGCCGATCAATCCTAATTAGCATTAAAAGAAGTTTTCCATATTTTACAGTACATGAATGAATTAAAGTACAACTTCCATTTTTTATAATAAATAAATTTTACAGGTCTTTATTTATTCATATTGCAAATAATTATTATTTAAAAAACTATATGGACTAAAATTTAAATCATGGGATTTTTTAACTATAGTATTATGTAATTTAAATTCATTTACTTCATCTTTTAAAAAAAATAATTCGATTTCTTCCCTAGTATAAACATCTTTATTCAAAATAGCCAAATATTTGACCCTTTCCTTCTTCATAATATATTTCTTTATATAAAATAAAATCTTCTCATTCCTATCAAATACCATATTTTTAATTATTAATTTCTTAATAAAAGTATTTTGTGAATTTTTTAAAAATATTTCCAGATCACTTGTCCTATATGAAAGGGATAAACATAAATATTCTAATTTAGAAGGAAGAACCTGTCCTAAATTCTGTAATACAGTTGAACTTAATTTCCTATGATCAATATGACTATAAATACTTTCTTCAATAGTAAGATAATTAATATTATGTTGATTATTTTCAAGGAATAAATAAATATTATTATCATCAGGTATTCCCGATTCAAAATATCTAATCTTTTTACAATATTTCGTAATAAATTCAAAAAAATTGTTGTTTTGGTTCATCATAATCATTAAACATCGTATATCCAAATCCAAAATTTTCTAGACAATCACTAAATTTCTGTAATAGCAATTGTATTGGTTCAAAATGTAATGTTCCATCCATAAATAAAGATCTTAATTTAAAAGGCTTATTAACCTTAATAATTTGTTTAGCAAAATCAGAATTTAAAGAAGAACAATAAAAAATATGAATAGATTCTAAAACATTCAATTGATCAAAAACTTCTTGTAAAATACTAACTATATTATTAAAATCAATAGAATGAAATATAATTGTATTTAAAGTATTTGAACAATTAGAATTTTTTAATGATAAAAATGGATTATATAAATCAATATCATATTCAAATGCAATTTTTCTGAGATTATGTTGTGAAATAATTATTTGTATTAACCATTTTTCAATTATTAATAATGAACGATAATCAATATCATATATAGGAATTCCTAAAATCATTGATGAGATTAAATTGCAATTAGAACATAAAATTTTCAATAACTTAATCATATTTTGAGTATTATAATTAAAAATACGGAATGTTAAATTACTAATATTATATGTAATATTTGGATTTTGTAAAATTAAGTCTATATTATTATCAAAATAATTATCATAATACGTAGGCAGTACAACTTCAAAAGAATGTAAATCTCCTTCATTTTCAATAAACATTTCAAGCAATGACCTATAAATAAAGTTTACTAGCTTCTCTTGGTTTTTACCCACTACAGTATCAACCCACGTTTGAACAGAACTTAAAATTTTATCTATATTTAAGTATTTAATAAAACTAGGATAATTGAATAATAATGAATTTGAAGATATTAAATTATTATTAACTCCATATTCATATAATTTTGTTTTGACATCTTCATTTAATCTACTCAAGTAAATTTCAATAAAGTATTGATTTTTGAGATATTCCCTTGAAAATGGATCTTTTTTTTGGAAATGGATCTTCCTATAATAATGGAGTGGCTAAACGACACACTAATCTGTTAATTAAAATGCATGAATACAATGTTGACAAATCTTTTCTAAGATACTGTATAATTTCATTTGTTAATTCGGGTAAATCTCCTGAAAATATTTTTGAGCATGTCGTGTTATTAAAAGAAAAGGGAGGAGAGGTTGCTTTCGTTTCAAAAATGAAATAAATTTATAAATTTTCGGAGTTGTCAGATTTTGCACAATTTATTTAATATTCCATAAAAGGACAACAAAAGAACAAAAATTATATGTAAATCAATCCTTTTCTGTTAATTCCGTGCCCATCCACCCCCATCATATGAAAAGCCGATCAACAAAGAATCTAACCTTACAAGTCTATAGGTTAGGTTCTTTGCCGATCTCTTTTATTTGTTACAGTGTGAGAAGTGAGAACCAACCTGTCTTATAGACGTTAAATATGATTATTTATATGGGTGAAATTTTTGCCGTAATGTGTAATGTCCTCTACTTTTTGTGATACCGGTACTATATCATGGTAAAGCGGTACAAATTCTTTTGGATCATTAGTTTTTATACGGAAACCTCCGTAATTTTTTTACTGTATTTCTTTATAAGTAGTAGTATCGACTGTTTTCTAATCAATAAAATTAGTTTAAAAGTTTATTTTTAATGAAGAATAATTGCGAGAGATAATGTGCCATTTGAGAATATTGTCCGAAAAAAAAAATTTGATTAGTCAATATACGTGTAATTGAATAAAATAAAAATAAAACTGAAAACTCAAATCTCGATATAACAGAGTTGAAACTATCATAATCTATAACAATGATGAATTTTTTTATATATCAGACTCGATATACCAGATTTTTGAAAAATTTACCATTGGAATGGATTAGTCTAGTTATTTTTTTCACCGCTTTATCTAAAGTTTCAAATCCACAAATCCATTTACTTAATTAGAATCTGCAAGTTCCAATTCTTACATAATAATACAGTTGTTAGATAGAGGCGTTAAATACATCAATCATTGATTATTTATTAAAATTTTTTAACAATGGTACTACGCCAAGAAGACAATTAAGTGAGTATCAGAAAATATCAATATATATTACAATACGAGTGATACTTTCTCCTTTATTTCAGTAACCAAAGTCATGGCAACGTTTCTTGAAAAAAATGGAGTTTGCTTTGAAAAAAAAAATACCGTTCAAGTTGATCGTGAAGATGTAATCTCGATATTCGATCATAGGATCAGAGTTCCAATAACTAAACGATCAAATATTTCTGAAGAAACCTGGCAAAATGCTATTTCTGATAATAGAGCTTTAATCGTTGTTCATAGAAATCAAAACAGTGAGTATATCTTAATCTAGTAAAGATATTTAGATATGTTAAATTTAAACTTTGATTATTGCAGACCCATGTTCAGGTGCAAAATTTCTCGATGCGACTAACGATATCGCTCACATTATCGGCATGATGTATAATATTCTCTTAAGAGAATATAACAGAAACTTACCAGTAGCAATACAATATGATTCATTCCCTAGGTTAGTTTCTCGTTCGAAGGTAGACAGTTTTACTAGGAATCGATTAGAAAGAAGGATCGCAGTTTACGGCATAGAAATGAAACATATAAATTTACTAATAATCTTTAAAAATAATCGTAACGCTCGAGTTCATAGGGAATGTTGGAATTTTAATCCAAATATATCAAGGTTAAATCAGCAATAAGATGCTCTTGAAATGTTGCACACTATTAGACAGTCAAGAGCTTTTGGTGAAGCATTTGAATTATGCACATTTTGTGTATATAGATAAATAAACCAATAAACTTGTGCAAATCAATAAAAATATTTTATTATTTCTAATCTCTGATCTAAATGAGGAATATATTTATAAGAAATAAAATCTTTGCTGTAAAGAATCTTATTAATAACAAATTTCACGCTCAAATTGGCATTCCTAACATTTTGCGAGCTTTACGCATCATCGTGACAGCTTCTGTCCCTTTACATACATCACAAATTGTTTCCCAAAAAAGTTTGTCCTTTTCTTCCTCAGTTAAATGACCTTTTGGAACTTCAGGCACATTATCATAGTTATCAGAATCATAATCATAATCATCATCAATTTCTTCTTTCCTCTCTTCCATTAAAGTTGAAATAGCTTCTGCCGCTTCAAAGTATAATTTAAAACCTTCTTCATAATTTATAGGCGACGTATTGGCAGCATTCTCATTAACGCTCCCTTTGACAAGAACATCACGATAGGATAATCTTGCTGTATGGCTTGCTGGCGAGACTTCATATTTGACTTTTTCATCAACAAGTGCGTCATCTCTATTAATTTTTTCTTTCAAAAAGATATCGACTTCACCACCATCTTTTCCTTAACAAGAAAAGAAAATATGTTAGGGTAACCAAGCTAAATTTTAAATAGAGGAAAGAATCATGATAACAATACCTGAATTCAATTTTTCTATTTCAACATCACCTGAAAAGTCCACAAAGCTATTATTATGATTGTTAATCAAGTGTTGACTTAGTGCAACAGGAGTAACAAATCGGGTATAACTACAAATTGGACACTAAATATTAAAGAAAAAAGTTAACATGGTCGTTTTAGTGCTTACAAAGCAATGTAATGGATAAAATAGTTTTTGAGTCAACCTTAAATGGTCTTTGTTGAATGTGATTACGTAAATGTTCTGTAAAATACAATAATAACTTATCTAATTTCTACAGCATCAGCGGAGCTAGCAAGCCAAAAAAAAAAAAATTTTTATACCTTCTAACAAAATATCTTTATTATAAGATTTCTTACAACCTTCCCACGGACATACGTAAACTGAAAGAGATTGGTTGCAGAAATTAATGTCGTGTTTAGCGATGTGTTTTCTGAGTTCCTCCACGGTTTTAAAGTACTGTGGTTTTGAATGATTATATAACCATTTGCAGGCAAATGGCTTTGGATTAATACTTTCAGACATGGTAGCGTGGTCATTTTGCTTAATTAAAATCAATTTAACTTCACGTAAATATATCAGTGATCCACCTTAAATAAAAATCTAAAGATACAGTCACACCATATAAAATCACCCCTATACGTATAGTTCACCTCATATAGTTAGTTACGAATGAAAAAAAAGGGGTATACTTTTTTTGATTATAGAAGTTGTACGAACTATTATTTATGTGTACGCCTAAAAAAAAAAAAAAAAAAAGTACGAACTATTATTTAAAAAAGCCCCCCGAAATCTGGTTGGTTTGATTTGCGTAATACAATACAATTATCAAACTTTTGTTCATTTTGTTTTTAGAAAACCTTTAACCAAATAATATACTATTGATGTTACTAATTGTTACTAATGATGTTTTTAAACCTTCTAACCAAAGATTACACAAACACATAATGATGCTCTTTTAGAATCGCATATGGAACATCCTTCTCAAATAATTACTATCTTAGTTGGTGAAACAGATCAATCATTAAGTGAAATAAAATCTAATCATAAACAATTTGAAAATAGAGACGGATACAAATAAAGTATTATGACAATTTTTTTTATTAAAAATTAAAAATTTACTTATGTTTTTAATTCTTATACTAGTGGTTCATATTATTTAATCCTGTTAAAAAAAAGTCGGATTGATGATTTTATATATACATATTATTTGATGGTTCAATATTCATCTACATAATATATTTTGTGAAAGGAGAGTCAAAAATGGATAAAAAGCGTGGTTGAGCGGCAAGACGGTCAGAGGGCTCCAACAGCACAAATAGACCAGTAATATATATTGAATTAATTCCGGTAGAATTGTTGGCAATAAGTTATCTGAACGAAATGGTATAGAGAATTCATTTACTTTTACTTATATGTTAATTTTTTGGACCGCTCTTTGGATTAGAGTTTACAGACATCTTCGTTACCGTCTCGGAAAGTTCCAACTACGACATCTTAATCCCTTTCTCTCCGTTACCATCATCACTACATAATCAATATGCCGATGCACAATTCTTAGACGAGTTGCTGCTACTACAGGACAAATGAAAATGGCTGCAGTACATTTTAACGAATTAATGTGTCACATTGCGGAGCAAGGTATTTCACGAATATCCTAAACATATATTTTTTGCAATATTGATCAGAGAGTTGTTATTGTTTTATCATCTCGAAAAAATGGAATCGAGATGAAGGTCTTGAAAAAATATTCTTGCAAAAACACATACCGCTATATTTTCCTAAATCCAAGTATGTATGAAAATCAAATTCTTTGAGTAGTGATACCAAAGGGAAGCAATTTAACTAAAGTCTGTGATTACATTATCAAGAGACGTGATCGAGATTATTATTCATCTGGCGTAGCTGAAAACCGGAAAAATTTCGGCAGGTGTGATCACACTTGAGAGAAAATGTGGCACAGTATACCTAATTCGCATGGAGCAGTGATTGGGTCTTAGTATGTATCAAAATTTCCTAATGGTTTGTGCGTTTGCAAATAATGCCATCATGCGGTTACCTTTTTTCGAAATATTGATGTTCTTATTTTAATTGTGTGTTGGCTATATTTCTCTGGAACTTTCTCGTCATTGGTAATAACTTAGTATCTCTTCGTGATTGAGAAATTTCAGTGAAACTGGGCTTCACCCAAACTACATGTTATGTTGATTTCGATGATGAAGTACACGGTTAAAAACATATTAGTAAAAAAAGAGGGCGATAAGTTGTTAATTACAAGACATCAAATACAGTTCCGAGTATCGGAAATATTACATAGTATAATTCACAGAGCGTATAAAGAATACATCGTTTTTTTTTTTTCATCTCTCTTTTTTTCTTATTTTTCTTTTCATTATTATTTTACCATTTTATTCATTCCATTATTTTCATTAATTTATTAGCACAATTTCTCCTTAATTCATTTTGTCATTGTCAAGTTTCTCTTTTTGTATTATTATTACTAGTCATTAAAAATTAATAATTAAAAAATTTTGGTTTTGAATAAGTATGAATTTTTTAAAAAATTAGTCAACTAAAAATTAATTTTTTTTATTTGGACAATTTTATAAAAATTCAGAAAATGGACCAAATCATTTATTAAACCATTTGATATTGAACTAAACAAAATTAGATCAGAGTTACATATACTGAAATTAATTATTTATAAATATCATAATCAATAAAGCCATCTTGCATCATGTTTATAAAAACCTTGTGGTTCTGTCCCTATAAGAAATATGTATACGGAAAGGATACGTTTTGTATACATTTTATGTACGTTTCTATAGATTCCGTATACAAATTCCGTATATTTAATAAGCAATTCATTTTTGAATATTTTTTAAAAAAACTAATGCTGTCTCTTATACACATCTATGTGTATAAGAGACAGAATTTCTACAGCATCAGCGGAGCTAGCAAGCCAAAAAAAAAAAAATTTTTATACCTTCTAACAAAATATCTTTATTATAAGATTTCTTACAACCTTCCCACGGACATACGTAAAC